TTGCCTTCTCTTTCTCTTTCCTTCACGTAAGATCTTCGCAGAACACGCAGAGAAAGAGACGGATAGTTTTCAGACATAACGGCAATAACGAGGGCACCACCGGGATTCAGTCAATTGGTACCGCGCGTCGTCCGGTGAGCGATGATATTTAACTGCGAAACGCGTGCCGCACAGTGACAGCCGGTGTGGAGGAAAGGGACCGGAAGGCCGCGTCAGACCGCAGAACGGAATCAGAAGTCGGAGGATGGTGGTTTGAAATCGGCGAGACGACACCGGGAAGGCGACGCACGTGAGAGCGACTCTCTGACAAGACCCCCCTCCCCACCCCAACAAGGTAATTAACTCGTTCGGGTTGCGTTCGAGCGCATCGGTCTAAAGTAAATCTTACTCTCGTTAGTGCCGGCCGCGGTTTACGCCAACGATAACTTAATGCATCACGGAAATTGGAGGTAATCGGCCTTATTCGGATTTCTTAGCTCGCAGTTCTGCCCAATTACGTTCGCTCCCTCTCTCCTCCCCCCCCCCTCCCACTGATTTATCATGCCTCGTTTGTTTATTTTTGTCTGGTTACTTATTGTCGTCCTAGAGAGTCATGGCAATCCATTTCTCCTGTTTTCACGCTAATTGGACATCCGAGCGAATCTTTTCTCGATAAAATTTTAATTCCAAGCTCGTAGAATAAAAATTTCGCGACTTGGATTGTAAAACGATCCGGGATCTATTTTAAAGTTACATCCTCGAGTTGTAATTCAGAAATGGAAACCGATGTACTCCTAATAAGAATAATTTTTCGTATTTACTCGTGTCGCTAAATATGCAACGAGGATAAATTTTTTATAGTATTTGTAACACGAAAAATTGAAATTACATCGATTTCCTTAAATGAATCTTGAATTAATTTTAGAGCTTCGCAATTTACGGAATCGGAGCCATGATCTTTCATCGATAATTTCAACCTCTCTTTTCGTTTTTTGATAAAAGAGATTTTATCAGATATTTTTCATTATTTCTTCGCGGTGATTGTATTTTATAAGATTTGAAAAACAAGATTTGAAGAATAATTTCGTGCAAACAACTTTAATCGCTCGCCAGAAACGCGCGAGAGAACGTTCTGTCATTTATTCACGGCAAAACCAAAAACGTGCGAAAATGCGATTAGCATAACGAGTGATTCTTTTATTAAAAACTAAGCTAAAGTTGTCCGATCTCTATCCTCGGACGATTCTAACCTGCGGTCGTGCATTTGCGCGCATATTGTTAGCCGCCAGACCTGGCCGATTCATCACGCGACATAAGGAACGGATTACGCTATCATTCATTCCTTCTTTCTTTCGATCCAGTCATGCGTTTCTGTCTCATTCCGTGTGTCGCGTTCAGCGCACACATCTTCATTTTATCGCACACGCGACATCGCCGCTCGTAGAACTTTTGTCATTGGTCACAACACATCGCGCTATTCTTCATTCCTCATTTGTTTTCCTTTTCGGAGCTCCGTTCCGGAGCCACTCCGTCTCACCACTCGTCTTCTAAACGTGTACTATCGATTTTAGAGGTGTTCCCTAAGAACGGTAGTAAAAAAAAAAAAAGTTATCTTCTCCCCTTTCGTCAAATCTCCCGTCTATCTTCCTCCCGGTCCGTCCGCATGTCATTCAATCGACTTGTCGTCGATCTCCTTCTTTCCCTTTTTCGCGCTCGTCCTCTCCCCGTGTCTTCCCCGTATTCCTTTTTCGCCCCCGAACGCGCGTTTTCTCTCCCTCTCGCGACTTCTTCCTTCCTTCCTTCCTTCCTTTCTTCCTCCGCGTCTCTGCTCTCTCCCTCTTGCGGTACGTTGCGCCCGTTCTCGTATAACGACGACGGCTTTTCGTACATTTTCGTGCGGCCTCGCGGCGTACCGGCCCGACGTGAAGCGCGAGGGGGAGGCGCGGCGCCTTCTCCGCGACGGAGTCGCACAGTCGTGACGTGACGTTTTAGGGGTTGGTCGGTTTGCTCGCACACGGCATGCGACGGGGAAGAAGCCTGCTGCGGTGACTGCTCGCTCGCGGCGCCCCCAGTTAAGGTGCAGAGGATTCCGCGCGTGTCTTCGTCGTCGTCGTCGTCGTCGTCGTCGTCGTCGTCGTCATCGTCATTGCCGCCGCTGCCGTTGTCGTCGTCGTCGTCGTCGCCACCACTGCCGCCACTACCGTCGTGCTGTACCGGTTCTCCGGTACAGAGGCGGTCGTCCCTTC